CGTCATCGTGTTTTAAAGAAGAGTGGCTTGATTAAGTGCTGGAAATAGCTGAGGATGGGCACAGAACGGTAACATTTACAGTCACACACAGACATTTTTTTGAAAATATTTCACTTACAGATCTCAGTTTAAATGCTTCAGTTTGTTTTGATATTATAATATATTATGTTAGGCCTATATTATAAACCTAATAAATAATTGACCTTGTTTTTTAATGGAGTCACTTATGCTCATCAAGGCTGAATTTATTTGATCAAAAATACAGAAAAAAAAAAAAGAAATATTGTGAACTATTAGGCTATTGCGATTTCTAATATCGGTTTCCTATTTTAATATACTTTCAAATATAATGTATGAGGCAAAGCTGAATTTTCAGTATCATTACTCCAGTCTTCAGTGTCACATGATCCTTCAGAAATCATTCTAATATGCTGATTTATTATCAGTGTTGAAACTGTTGTGCTGCTTAATATTTTTTTTTTCTTGGAACCTTTTTTCTTTGATTCTTTGATTAGGCTAATAAAAAGTAAAAAAGAACAGCATTTATTCAAAATATAAATATTTTCTAACAATATAAGTATTTACTATCACTTTTTATCCATTTAACACATCCTTGCTGAATAAAATAATTATTAAAACAAAATAAAATAAATAAAAAATTAGAGGGAACATTGATGGCAACAGTACATTACATCAAGACTCTGGATTTAATCTAAACACTTTAGGTCTAGGTACATATTTATCAGAATCTATTGGAATTAAATGACTATGATTTCAGTTAAAACACAGTGTTTTATTATTCTAGATGAGTCACATTTTTACATTAATCAGAAAAAGGTGGTATAGACACTGCAGTCAGATGAAATGAACTGCTCATAGTCTATGAGAGCAAAAATACAAAGACTATAGTATGATGCATTGTTGAAGAAACAATTAGCAGCTATCCTGTTTCCTGAAAATGCAGAAACTTTGCCGCACATCTGTCGTTCAAATCTGTTGTTAATGATGTCAAGCAGGTGGTGGAGTGATAACTTCTGCTAATGAATCAGCTCAAGATCAAATTTAGGTCAGATTATTGCTGTAAATATCAGCGTTGCTATTTTTGTTCTGATATTAAGCTTTATTAGCTCAGGTTTCTTTACATGGCTCTGTGGTTCCTTGTGGTATATTGCTATTAAAGTCCACATGTCACATTACACAAGAAACTGCTTCTAACCGCTTTAGAGCTGTAGTTACAAGTATTCATTGGAGCTATGGATTCGGGAAACACCAAATAGTTAAATTTACAGTATGTTGGTAATGATGTAACTTATGACCATAATTGGCTAATGGTGCTTTTGAGCTCCCCTGATTGGCTCAATACACAACTTTCATAAGTATGTTTTCTGTAACTATAGATTCAAACATATTTCAGAGTTGTAAAAAATGTTCTAAATTGAAAGGTGCAGTCACATTTAACACTGTTGGTGAATATTTCTGCAGGTTTCATTTGGAAACCACATTATCTGCACACAATTTCTCTGCACAGGTTTGGAAGTGATCGTAACACTTTTGACAACAGACAATCAACCTTTTTTTTGTCCTCGAAATTTCACTAATGTGACCACAACCTAAGAGAAGATCAGACACTACAACATTAAAGCTAATGGCATAGAGGAACGATAAAACTGGAATCATTTTCAGAGCGTTTTCAGATCGTCCGTTGATGTGAAGGCTAACATAGTTATCACTACAGTTAGCGTTCTTGGTGTGAACGAGCCTTAAGGCCTTTCCTGCTGGGTAATTGCACAAGCTGTCGTAGTTGAAGTCATAAGATCTATTCTATTCTAATTGCAAGAGGTACAAACTCTCATCTAAGCCATCAGCATCTGCATTATTTCTGTTCTACTCTGATAAAATGTCCTATTTATTTGACAAACTGAATGTATTCAGCGTGTCTCCCTAAAGAGCACTTTCCTCTTTATCTCAGGTGACTGTCATGTTTACATTAATTTTATAATTGTCTGCATGAAACATTTGAATAGAAACAGCGCTGCACACCCACACCCGCAGCTCCGGTGCTCACTGTACCATTTTGCCCACTGAACTGCAGCCCGTCCTCCAGACAAAAGCCCTGAAAGCGTTTCCGACACTTTGTCGCCTGGTCTGCTTGGAAACCTGGCCAACTGCACAAACCAACTCCCTGTAAAGCTTACATTGCAGAGGCACCGGACATTCCCTCAGGACAGCTCAATGGAAATTAATTCACACAGAAATATCACACTGCGCTCAAAAAGAACCCTTATCGCAAAGCGCCAACTCTGGCAGCAGACAAAGGAAGCAATCTGAGGAGAGGAGGAGGAGGATGAAGGCACCGTTTCATTCACAGGACACACTGCCCTCCTCCACCGCTGGAGCGTGGACCCCTCGATCACTTCCTGTCTCCTCTATCCAAACCATCATTATATCCTCTGGGCTCCAGTGGTGTGGACGGGGGTTGGGTAAAGCCATCAGAACTAACATATGAACGACAGAGAAAACAGCACCTCATTTATGACTGATAGGGTAATGATTAAAAGGTAAACTAATTAAAAATTTAAATTCTGTTACTATTTAACCATGTTGTTCTAAATCTTAAAAATCAAGAAGAATCTTATGTGGCTCTTTTCTATATAACAACAGTTCATAGTGCTCATGCAAGCTCCCCCAAAACAACAACAACAAGTATTAATGTATTTTAATCAATGCAAAGTGCATTATATTACAAGTCTTGAAAAGTCATATAATAGGTCTATCAAAGGAACAGCTTGAAATATAAGTTATTTACTAATAAAGATAAATCCAAAGCTGATTAAGCCAGAACCTAACTAAAGAATAACTGCCCTCTGAAATTTCAGTTTCTGAGATGAAACAAGACACCACTAAGAAAGATGTGCTAACCATGTGTTAGCATTTCAGGAAGGATGGTGCAGAAAGCAAAAGCATAGTTCACAGGGAATGAAAATCTAGAATTTAGTACAATTGACGATCAAAGACTGTGGTGCCTACAGAACCCAAAGTCAGATTGCAAAATAGTTTTACCAACTTTACCTGATGCTTTCGAGGAAAAACAAAAAGAATAAAGTCTTTAGAGTAGCACTAGATTTGAGGGCAACAAGAGCATCAGTTTGCACTGCATCTAAACAATGTAAGAGGACTGCTACTAAAGAGAAAATAAATGGACAGGCTAATAGTGTCAAATCGTTAAGTCAGTTAGCCGTGTGATTGGTTTTTGAGGAGATATTGTGGATTTTTTTGTTTGTTTGTATTAATTTCATGTACATTGTACTTGTTGTTATTGATTGTTCATACTCGTACTGCCATTATATAAGTCATATAATGGATATTGTAAAGATACTGACATCAGCCATTCAAAATCCCATCAATGATGTATACTAATAAAAATGGCTATAAAAACCCTATAACAACTATTAATTTGAAGCCACTTGGCATCAACAAATCAAATCAAGACTAATTTCTTCCATAATCTATCTTTGAATGATTAATCAGTTTTCTATTATTTTATTTTTATTGTATTTATTTATTCCAATTTACTCAATTTTCCATTTTTTTTAATTTAATGTTATTCATTCATTAATTAATTAATTAATTAATTCATTCATTCATTCATTTAAGCAAGCAGTTCTGTCATTGATGTATTGCAGTACATCAGTCAAATTTGAGTTTTCTTTGTCATTGCAGCCTGACAACAATAATTTTGCATAGACACAAAGAATGTCAATAATTTATATATAAAAATAAATGTTTACTGAGAGACTAATACAAACTGAACCATTATGGTTTGATTTTGGTGGAGTTTCCTAGAACAAACAGAGCCCACCTACAGTATCTAAAACAAAACTTCCCTGTCGAACCTTGAACACATCTCCTTTTCAGAAGTTAATATTTGCGAGGCACAAACATTTTGCACACAATTCACATGACTTTCAGACTCTCTGAATGCAAGTTTGTTGCAGTGTAAATAGTGTTATTTAAAACAATAAACTCTACAATATCCGACATGAAGTGGGCTGCCATCCAGTTAGATTAATTGTATTGTTTAATCTGCCTGTCATTCTTATACTTTCTGACAGCTGTTACACTACCAAACCACTTCTACCATTTCCTCCATGAGTAATGCCGCCTCTCAGCACCGAGTCACGTAAATCCATCTAACCATCTTGAGAAAGTATCTTAAAGGGGTCATATGATGTTGCTAAAAACATTATTTTGTGTATTTGGTGTAATGAAATGTGTTTATGCGGTTTAAGGTTCAAAAAGCACATTATTTTCCACATACTATACATTATTCTTTCTCCTCTATGCCCCACCTTTCTGAAACGCGTCGATTTTTACAAAGCTCATCGGTCTGAAAAGCGAGGTGTGCT